ACGCAGTCACGTACACGCTTTTCTCACGATTCAGTCGCTTAATTCCAGACACTCTTCCTCGCATTCTTTCAACCACTCGAGATTTTCTAAACGCAGTCACACTATTTTCCAAACATCCCGGCGCCGGACCGTAGCAATACGACCTGGTCGCCCTTACGCACGCACAACAAACCATTCATCCTACAATAAATATTCTAGATACTACATTACTTTTCTAGTGTCAATGGTTAACCTCTGGAGTAAACGTAGACATAGAATAAGCATCAAATTCTTTTCTTTTTATAAGTAATTATTAGAACGATAATATATTTAAAATAAATAAATTTAGAGAAATTCAATGAGCCAATAAGACTAATTAATCAATTATACTAAATCTTATTAAATTTTGAAAAAATTAAAATTCTCCATGTTGTGTATATCTAAATAAATTCAAAGAATATGAAAATCTAAAAAATATTAAAATTATTGAAATTATAAAGTATTTTTATCGAGCACTGCTGCGAGAGAAACCATAGGGCAAGGGATTAATTACTGTACGCACTGATTCGAATAATCTATGTGCACCTATTTGAATAAGGTTTTAAAATAATACACCTTTTATTTAACTTTGAAACCTCATTACTACTTGACAAACACTTATTAATAAATCTATGAAACAACTTTCTTCATTTATATCAACATTAAACGCACCAAAATTAAAAGCTCGAATAAATTAATTAACACGTTGACTGTCAAGTCAGCATACAATAAAAATTCCTTTCAACCTTCCTGAATTTCATAGATCAACAAATTTCTCTTCAGTAAACATATTTTCATAAAAATACATTTTCAGTGACATGACAGTGAAAATATTAAGTATGATATTGAAATAGAATCAAAAATACTAATAAAAGTGAAGAATTCGAATTTCTTCTTTCCGCTAAATTCGCGCAAGTGAACGGCAACCATCGCAGTACACGAATATTGGTTAAAATTACGTTGCTTATCAGACGGGCGGCTGGCGTCGCGTGAGCGATCACTTAAATCGAAACTCGGCGCCGCGTACCTCGCCGCTAGGATCTGATCGTAATTGACGTTTTCGCGAGTCATTATCCAATCTCGTTCGGAAACGCGACCCGGCGCTTCTAATGCCTTTTGTAAATTTTAATCAAAAGTTGATACGACGACGTCCAGCGGAGTTAACCAGGCCATGAAGCGAGCAACCCGACCGGACGAGATGATCCTCTATCTTTCATTGCTCCCTGTCTCGTCGAATTTTCTCGTCGGTTTCGAAAGTGGTCGCCGTCGTGCCGGAATCCTTACGAGACACAACGCTGCTCCTGTCGCGACACATGATTGGAAACTGAACCCCTTAACCTATGATTTATTTCACAACTACGCCGGCAAGGACTACTCTGTCATTAATAATTTACTTGAATATTAGAAACTATTTTAGTTTAAAACTAATGGTAAATTAATAAAAAGACTGTAATGACATAGCCAGACATTAATTACTAGAAACAAAGGAGAATTCCATATTTATTTATATCTACGATTATTTTACAGTGCAACAGTTGATAACAGAAGTGCAATATTTAATATAGACTCAAGGGAGTTGAAATTTATTTAATTTTGTTAATTTCAGTTTCAGTTATTGTTCATGAGTCTAACACGATATTGTATGGCAAGGGATTAACACTACCGGGAACCGGTTAAATGGCCGCATTTTAAACTCTGCGTTTTTTTTCGTTTAACTTTATAATAATTCTTATATTGTCTGGGTAATCAGTGTTTCAATTTTTGTCTTTCCTTTTGTGTCTGTTTTCAATAAAAAGAATTTATCATCTAACTTGTTTACCTTTATTTCATAACTAGTTATTTGACTGGTTATGATGGGAAAAGTGTTGATACGGTTGGTGTTAATTGGAAGCAATGACACGGACTGACAATAAAGGATAGACGAATGATCGCGGCCGACACAGCGACGGGTGACCAGGTGTACTACTAACAGATCATTTGATGGCTGGACTGTCGAATGTGGAGTTGATTGATCAGTTTTCATCTTTTCTCAGTCAATGTTCTGTTCGGTTTATTTCCTAATTTCTGCAATTTTCGATCTTCAGTTTGCTGTCTGTCAATACGGTTACACGTAACTCATCGAAATTATAAAATTGTAAACTACCATGACGCCTGTTGCCTCTATGCAACTCCGCTGGACATCAAGTTATCTCCCAACTGTACGAACGTAGAAACAATTTGGCGATATAGCGGACGTAATGCTTTCAGACATTTTGGCACAGAACTTCGATTTAATTAGGCGACTGGCACGTTCGCTGTTAACGTCATATACATGTGACAGTCACAATCCTACACTTTGCACAGAGAAAATGAAATTAATGTTATTGGAATTATTATTTAAAGTTACAAGATACGACATTATATTCAGAGACTCAAGAACGAGGTTTAGTTTAATTTTTACATTGTTTAGGAAATTTGTTGAATTTAACAGAATACTACGACTGGGAAAATTGTCGCTAAAAGAAATGTTAGCGAACGAGCTAATAGCCCAGATAAATGGAGATCCGAAAAAAATTCTTCAAAACGTCTTTAGAAAATTCAATTTAATATATTTTAAGGTATAATCTAGGAATGAAAACTATTGAGTTTGTAGATAATTAAGATTCTGAATGATCTAGATCGCGGGAAATAATGACTTTATTAATCGAAATCTTACTGTAATTTGTATGCATGTAGGAAAAGAATGGGACTGTTCTATGGGTTAATGAAATTGAAATTGATGATAAATTTTGGAATGATCGAGAAAAGATCGTTTAAATTGGTGGATTTGAAAGCTTTATAAATTTGATGTGGATATGGACAATTGTAAAATACGGGAAGATATGTGTGCGTTATTATAGGTGAAAGAGAATTTCATTTTAATTTGATTTTTAGATAATAATCAACGTAAATGAGAATTGGCACTTAATAGTATAATGGAATGTAATAATATCGTATCAAATTGTATAATCATTTATACAATGAATTGTTATTAATGTTTCACTTGAAATAAAATTCATGTTTTTAGATATGACGTATTGCAATAGCTTTATACATTCGATAAATAGTTCCGTTTGCGTTTCGCCATAATAGTAATTAAACTTTTAACTCGTTTACAGCCTTCTACTAGATAAAAACTGTTGTAAAAAACTTGTGCAAGTATACAGCCATTCGTCATGATATCTCCTTCAAGCATAAATACTAATCCACGAGCATCGTAGAACCAAAAATCTCATCTTGTTGAGTGCAACTTCGCAATTTTTATCACTCACTGTAAAACCTGGCTTTCAAGGGAACGAACTTCACCGAGAACTTTCAAAAAATGCATAACTTTGAAAATAAGGTTGTGCTGGAGCTCGTTTACATTAACGATACTAACATTCTTCTATGGCCAACATTATATGGGGCGAGTTACTTTTAAGATAAGGACTGAAAGTGGCAATGTTCTCTTGAACAACATGAGAAAACTTTTCAACAAAAAGAAAACATATACTTTAAAAATGCGTGTATTTTCATAAAAATTTATTTCCATTACTGTACGAGAGATTTATCTATATACCCATAACAATTTACCTTTAGATGATAACAATTTAACGTATGCAAATTATATACGTGATCATCATATTCAAGTAGAGTTGCTATTCCAGCAGTGAAAACATTGGAACATTGAGCAAACGTTATGGTTGCTTCTGGTATTCCAGCAGCCAGGCATAATAAAACAATCAAACGAAACAGATGTTTGCTAAACTTATGACATTCAACAAGTTTCATACATTTTATTAACCTTGATGTCTTGTTCACATACTCATTATACATTGCTAGAGCAACTTTATCTATGGTTATTCAAATTTTTTAGAAATTTTTACCTTTTTAGAAATCTGTTTCATTTCTGTAAAGTTCTGTTTGAAAAATTTGTTTAAGTACAATCCATAATTTTCATATTTTTTAGTTTGATTATGAATTACTGCTTCATCAATTTAAACTTTAAGTCAGAAAAATATTTGCAACCTTCAATGTTAGAAAATATGATCTTGAAAAATATTCTCCGACAATATTTCTTCTTTCAAAACGTTAACCAATCCATTTATTAAATCATAATATTTATATTAACACAAACCACGTTATATTGACATAAATGGAACTATTAATTGTTATTAATTTTATTTAGCATCAACTAAACCTTTATAAAAGTTTGTACTTCAGAAATCACTGTATCAATAGGACAAATTAAATATTCTTTTCTCCGCATATTTTTCGTGTCATATCGAAACAAAGGCATTTTAAATTCCGTTCTCAGGAAACTCGCCCCAACTCACCCTATATTCACCCCCAAAAGTTTGCCTCAAGTCCCTCCTACATATACAAATCAACATCATATAGCACGATAAAAACATGATATCGACGTTTTCACCGTGGTAAAACCATGAAAATAAATCCTCCTTAAACAGCTCTATGAACCCCGTATAATATAAGGGTTGATTCGATCTGGAGACCTCACTATGGAAACTGTGCCAGCATCGAGCCGGTTAGCTCGAACAACAGTGTAATCACTAAACTGCGGATATTTACGCATTGGTAGAAAATCTGAAGTTAAAAAATTGCAGAAAATGGACACAATACAAAATAATATCAAAATTATTGTTTCTATAATATTCGTTATACAACGATTTACCTTGTCAGACCAGGTAAAAGTTTCAGACAAAATTTATCAAATATAAATATCACTAAATTCTTTTAAATTTGAATGAAATATTATTCTTCTGTTATCGATTATTATAGTTTAGAGAAACCGTAGACATAGAATATCCATAGTCTAGAAATTCTCTCTTTTTTCAATGAATTGTAAATAACAATATAGTGGCGTTGAATATAATTGCGAAAGAAGAAAGAGGTTAAAAATGTGAATTTACGTAAAGATCCGCAGTTTAACAATCACAATCCCAGATATAACAATACTCTCTTACCTTCTGTATGCGCAAACGGAAGCGGCTAGTACTTCCGTTTCGTACGTCGAAGTCTTAATCGCTGATTAAACCAGGTACAACCATTTTGAAGGGTCGGCTCGGATAGAGCCGGTCAGGCGCTAAATCTAGAGACACACGTTTGTAGGCCGTTTCACCGTGCACAGAACACACACAACCCCTTTCACCACACTTTCCACGGCTTTTCTTCGTTGTCGCCTGAAACACGCTCGCCTTCCTCACTATCACTCTTCTTTCACGTAGGAGGTAGGTTAAGAGAACCGCTACAGGAGAGACTTGCTTAAAATTGCTTACGATAGTAGCCAGTAGCGACAGTAATAGTAACAGTATTAGTAATAGTATTAGTATTAGTAATAGTAATAGTAATAATAATAGTGATAGTAATAGTAACAGTATTAGTATTAGTAATAGTAATTGAACTAGGCGAAAAAAGACTCTTCTTTAAACCCGACGACTCGATTAGTAATTGACAACAATTCGTTTCTTCCTTGGTCGTTTCGGTTCCACCCTCTCGTACAACCGTGACTTATCGTTAACAACGATGACAAACGTTGAGTGCGCGATCCCTCTTCGTTTGTCTAACCTTAATATATCGTATTATAGAATCTTCTGATTAAACTTCGAAACAGCGTAGTAGAGAAAACAATAGAATCGCTTCAGCGATATTTAATATTCTTTTTCTGTTTTATTCTTCTTCTTCTTCTTGTTTTTCTTCTTCTTTTTCTTTTTCTTTTTCTTTTTCTTCTTCTTCTTCTTCTTCTTCTTCTTGTTTTTCTTCTTCTTTTTCTTTTTCTTCTTCTTCTTCTTCAGCTTGCGATAGATGATTCTATATTCTCCACGCTTGTTGTTAGATACTTTTATATATATACATTTAGATAGATTGCTAATTGAAATTTCGTTAGCTAGATTCTTCTCGCATCTCCACTTAGCCCAGTAACGTTTTCTCGCGGTCGATATGTCTGTCTGTTCCCACGCGTTCGATTCCTCGTCCCAGAGTCACTTCATTCTCTTCTTCTTCCTCCCTGATCAATATCTCCGCTTGCCTCGATGATCTTGCTGTTTTCGCATTCGTTCGTCGATTTCTCTGCTGCACAGGACTATCGAACGACGATCACTTTCCACTGCGCGAACGGGAACACTTTAGGCGATAACACGCGGACCTGTCGCGGGGAGCGCACATGTAAGATTCGTATAAATTAGGACCGGTTACTCGCCGATACGATTAGATTCCGAAAAGCGTCGCGCGTTTTTCAATACGTTGCCCGGACAGTTCCGCGAAATTTCAATGAGACGGAGTTGTACGCGACAAACTTTGAACGTCCGAATGTCGTTTGAAACATTTTGCCCTCTGAATTTAGTGATTCGTACTTCTGTTAACACGCTCACGACCAGCGTGTGTTTTAATTTCCATAGTTACAATATTTTATTAGATGCAGCAAACCGTCTTCGTAAAATGCAGTTCAAATTCAAGTAAGAAATCATGACAACTTCCTGCAACTTATATCATGCATTACGATTTTAAATACAAACACATGTGAAAATCATTTAATTTTCTTTATGCAAAATATAAAACGCTTACGTACTTGTAACACTGGTCGCGAACGTGTTAATGTATTAGTAAAATAGAAATGAATTGTGGATTTTATTGCTACAGTATGTACTATATGTACTCGCAAAATGTACTATTCTAGAATTGAGAATAGATTTGTAATAAAATGTTGAGGTTGAACATAAAGTTCTGATTTATGGAACCTCTCAATTATTGTGTTATGTATCGTTTTGGGTAGACGTGTCATTGTTACGTTTTTGTTTTCAGATTTGTAAGCTTCGAAAAGAAATGGATTCGTACAGTTTTATCGTGTGAAGTTGAAGTGGGATGGGAAGTTGCAGAAGACGCTTGAAATATGGATCAATTTGGTAAAGATTCAAGTATTGAATGTGCAGTGACAACACTGATCTCAATGATTTTGTAGTGGTGACGCGATGAGAGTCTTGAAGAGAAACAGGGTCGAGAGCAGCCTTTAAAGAATGTGTCAATTTTGAAGCTGTAAATTTGAATATGAAATGGAATAAAGAAGATCTCATTGTTTTAGAAAAAATGTGTTAATTGTAACTCGTGGTCACCCGATAAAACACTTTGAAATCGTCTAACGAATAATTAAGACAATATAATAGTTATGTTAAACTCTAAATCAATATTCCACCTGTATAAATAGCGATATAAGTATTCTTCAAGCTCGGTCTAAATTAAAAGAAATTTACTTCAAGTATGCTCGGTGACATTTTAATGAAAGTAGCAGTTCGAAGTGGCTTCAGAATATAAAAGAGTTAATGTAAACTTTACGAGGATCCTTTATCTGCACATCGCAATTTGTTAACCGAATGAACCGATTAAAACTTACTAAACCTACAGCAATGTTTCTGGCTTACGATTTTTACGATGGAGATACAAACTAATCGCTAGAGTACTCTAAGAGTGGCTTTACGACTGCAAATCAAACTCAATGTTTGTCTACGCGTTAGTGTTATCGCTGCGTCAGCGGGTTTGAGGTTAGAATTCTGGCGGTCGCTAGTAACTTTAGTATATAAGAATTTTATCGGTTTAAAGTAGTCGGATAGATAGTTTAGTCGAATTTCGTTTTTCACTATAAATTAATAGTAAATGTTTCAAAACACCCTTTCGTTTTTTACTGCAACTTTCGCTTATTTAGAAGAGATTGAAATTGTTATTTCAACTATTTTACATTTTAATTAATAAAGTTCCTTATCGAAGTTCGAAACCTGAATTTAAAGTTAAAATTACTACCAAGATGTTGTTAATTATGTTTTAATAGTTATATTCATTAAAAGTTTCTTGCACATCTTCCTTGTTAATAAGCCCAATGCATCTATTTTAAAGTTGCGATATATAATAGATTTCCTGAACTTTATATACATGCTGGTAGATCAAAATATTTTTATAACATTTCGTAATTAATTGTTAAAATTTCTATACATTTACCAATGTTCCGTAAAGGCTTTTGTGAATTTTTTAACTGAAAACTAACTATCTGCACCTGACAAACAATCTCTACAAACGTAATTATTACGTTTTCCTACAGAATACCTTTTTCTAGAAATATTAATTAATAAAATATTGTCAGTTAATACATTGTACAAAATACTATATTATACGTGAATCTCGTGAATCAATAACATTTATTTCTAAGAATATGAGCAAGCATAACAACGTTGCAGATGATTATTTAAAGAGCTACTAGTAACAGCTCGGAGTTGGTTAATTGGTTTAATGGAGAAAATATTGAGTTTTCATGAAGCTTTGTGGACGTCATTTGACTGATAGCTCGTGCTCAAGAATTTTTCATGTCCGACATTGTTCGGAATACCGACATGCTCGTCACGAGATATTACGTCGGTCGTAGTACGTAGAGAAAACAGACAGAAAGACACAAACAGAGAGAATGAAAGATAGATCTACAGAGCTACTGACATTCGTGAACTCTTTACTCCGTAATATGTAGCAGGTAATGGTCTTTAATGCAATGACACGGAAACTTTGAATGAACGTTGCTATTGTTGGCCGTCTGAGATAAAGTGGACGCTACCGGACTAGCAAAAAAATGGATAGCTATCGCTTTCGGATTAATTGAAACTATGATCGATATCAGTTTCCGATGTCCACGGTCACGATGCAACATATATTAAGTTTAATGGCACGCTTATTTGAAATTTATATCAGCCGAAAATCGATGGGTCGCTTTGCCCTGTCCTTTCTCATTACATTTTGAATCACGTGCGCGTACAATATTATCTACTAACATAGAAACTTTCATGCTTGTTATTAAACATTCCAGAACGCGCATCGTGAAATGATATTTTGTATATTAACTTCTGGAGAATTTTCAATGAATGTTGTTTAATAAATATGCTGTTCATTAAATTAATTTTCTTTTTAACTTAATGCATTATGCAATCAATTCTCGTACAGAATTATAAGTATTTTGAGCTGGCGTGGGTCAGTAGCATAAGGGTGTAATTTTTGATTACATGATATTGTTTATGCGAATAAGTGTTCTATTTAACTGAATCTACTGTGCAATTTGAAAAAATAAATTAATTGGTACCATATTGGTATGCTTTCGTTTCGTTATAACATATTTTACGATATGAAATCATTGCGTCAGTTTTTAATTGTTAATTGTTAATGTTGAAGTTTAGAATATAAATAAACGATACAAAGATATGTAATGTTATAATGGTAATCGAAATATGAAATATCTAATAGAATTCTCATTTAAATAGTTGTCGTATTCTTTGATTGAATAAATAGGTCCTATCTCGAAAGATTTAAATGGATCCTATATATAATGGCTCATCATGTCGGAATTCTTTAATTGATCATACGTCGTGGTATCAGCGGATTGATGAAGTTCCTGGTCTCGTGTATCGCTGAATTGCCCTCGATTAACGTTGATAGATGAGCGTCGTTAATCTTAACCGACTTTCCAGTCCCCGTTAAGTCCTCTAAACGTGAGCTGATACTTTTATACTTCTTAACCGTTTTCGCGAGAAGTATCCATTGATCACGTTATTACGGTTCGTGTCTGAAATGATGTCGTGGGCGACGGTTGACGTTATTTACTAGCCATAGCTATCTCATCTTTTTCAGAGAGAAGATTTGATCGTTCCACGGGGAAACAAGAAAAAGTCAATCTACATGGACTGAATGAAATCTTAAGCAAGTTTACGATCGCAGCAAAAAGCAGTCTATAAACCTGAAAGCAACAACCCGGACGCATTGAACCTGCGAAATAACGAAACAGGGTTTTATTACTTTGGTAACGAAGCGAAGCGCGAATCAGTCACAAGGATCAAAATGTGAATATTAAGTTGCTGCGAACATTAAATCCGTCATTTCGCTTGTTTAAGTTGCGCGTTCACGAACTATTCGATCCAACTACAACTATCAATGCTAATTTATATTATCAGCAATTCTAAAGAACGAAGTAAAAACTGCTAAATAACAGAACATTTTAATCTTGAACGAAATAGAAATACGATTTCTCTATTTACTTTTCAATCGAAGAACAAAGAGATTAAACAGTATCTGTTATTTGAAAAACAGTCTTGAAAAAAAAATTTAACTAATTTCTAACACCGAAAGGTGCAACAGTTCCTCTTTTAATTAGGAATTCCCAGATATTTATAAAATATATTTCCAATTCTAACCAATAACTGTGAGACTTCAAACTAACCAATTACCTCACACCAACGACGAAAGCAAAGATTTCCAACTACGGAGGGATTTAAAGCCAATGAGACTAAGTACAAGTGAGTTACAAGAGTGTTCGTACTTCCGGAACTGCTAATTTTAAACGTTTGATGTTTGTTTACAGTGCAAGTTTCAAAGTTGTTATCAACAGGAATGTATGCTTTCAAACTTGTATAAACCTTATTGCAAAACAACATGTCTATATAAGGAAAATGTAATTTTACTTAAATTGGAAAAAAATTGATCTCACAAGAGTTGTCATACCTATACAGATTATACTAAAAATACAATTAATGTATTAATAACTAAATAGTCAGGCTTCTCAAGCCAACTGTGTTCCTGTTTAAGTAAAATTACATTTTCTTATATTGACATGTCGTTTTGCAATGAAGTATATACAAGTTTGAAAGCTTCGTAATTCCAACATACACTCCTGTTGATAAGAACTTTGAAACTTCCATTGTAAGCAAACATCAATCGTTTAAATTCGACAGTTCGGGAGGTACGATCACTGTTGTGGCTCACAGATCGCAGATTTCGTATATTCACAGCAGACATCCGTATGCAAACTACAATGAAGATTTCTACGAGTCTCCTAAAAATGCCCATTCAACTCTCAACTTAATTAAACCCTTAACAAAGGAACGAAGTTTCCGTTTAAATCTCGTAGGCCCCGAAAACGTATATTTGCATAAACGACCGCGGTCTGGTCATAATTAACGAATGACAATACATATTCTTTTTTTGTAGGGAGCGCGCTGCAGCGAGCTGAAGTTATGCGGTAAGCTAATACACCATACCGCGTTCCACG